GTGAATTTCGACGACGACCAGATAGATACCTTTCATAGATAGAGCGTGTGAGTATATCTTGTATGTCGACTCACAACATGTCTACACAATCGACTATCTACAGGCCTTGTGTATATATGAGGAATGTATCCGCAAGGTACATGATTTTCAAAAGCCTCCAGATTGTGCTGCTGATGTAGTATGTAACTCGTACCTACAATCTAGACGAGCCCAATAGACAGACAAACAGTCAGATGCTGGCGAGGCGCATGAAATATCTTGCTGTTATATTGCCATTGGCCGACGCAGAGCGTAATAGTACACGTAGCGACTTGTCTACCGTCCACCAAACACAATACTTTATCGGCGGCTCTAACGTCCTGCGTTTCTGGCCTGGCACAGGCTGAACTCAATGCTCGACTAGGTACATGATTAGCTCCTATAGTATAGCAAAAAGAATGTATCCCAAAAACTACATACTACTCAGCATGTGTACGAATGCGGGAAAACACATTTCAGGTCCAGGTGTTGCAACCTGCAAGGGCGAAGAAAGGGAACCGCCCCCAGGAATAGACACGATACCTACATTGTATGTTGTAAGCCTTGTAAGCCTATCATGAACCTTGCTCGCTCGGGGGCTATGTCGAAAAGAGAAGCACCTATCCCATGTGTTCGCTTTACGAAGAGGCGCTCTCTCTTTTAAAGAACTTCATTACTCCTGATTCCAATCAGGCCTTGCATCCAGACCCTGTCTTGAATTGTATCCTCGATCTGCAAGAAGTATCACATCTTCGGCGACACTGGGTCATTTCCAACGTGAGCAAACGAAATCCTTCGAGGTGTTCCATCGGCCGCGTCCAGAGGATTCGAGCCCAAAATTTTGGGTTTAGCACTCAAGCACGGCGACGACATTCCAAACTCAATTCCGCGAACATTTCAAGAGCTAAAAAGGCCAATGCGCGTGGGCAATTGGCTGCTGTTTTTGTTCAAAAGAAGCGACGTGTCAGAATTGTTGTTTTCCCCCTGGAAAACGATGCCTCTTTCAGTTCAGTCCCTGACGTGCCATGCCATTGCCATGTTTTTCCCGCCCATTTGGGGCCACCCTCGGAATAGAGTTGCTTGCTCCAAGTAGCATGAAATGCCATGAAACACCAATTAAACTCCCAGACAGACTCGCACGGCCGCGCAACGCCCCCCAGTGCGTGTGTGTCGCGCGCGCCTGTCTTTGGCTGCCAGTCAGAAGCCGATTCAGCCAGTCCCGACTGAAAGGTTGGACACCTCTGACAGCAATATTCTTGGCCGGGGCCCTGGCCTACCCCAGCGCCCATCACTCATCCGTCAATCCATCCGTCAATCCATCCATCCATCCCATATCATCCCATCTACGTAGTTCCAACCCATCCACACCTCCAAAAAAAAAAAAAGAGGATCTGTCGATTTTGGATAGACACCCCCCTTCCTTTGACCCCACGGGCTCTCCCGTGTCCTGAAAAGGGACCTGCGGTTCTGGTGCCTTGCAACGAATCTTCCCCTCAGAATAAGCGAAGAGGACCATTCTTCGGGAACTCGGTTTTTTGTTCGAGGCAATCTTCCAGAACGAAACGGGGCTTGTGGTTATCAGACACTCGGAGCAATACTGTACACTATTATGGTGCTGGCCTTGGTGGAAAGGCTAAAAAGGTAAAGCAAAGAGGCATTATGACCCAGTTATGCGCGTGAGTGGAATGCTTACTAGCAATGCCAAGCAAGACATTGGTTTATCCAAGTCTGCGCTTGGATCATGGTAGCAGGTAGTAGTAGTAGTATTAAGGTGTTGTTGATAGCATAATTATCGAATCGCAACAATTGTCTTGGAACAAAGGTCGTTATCATAGCCTTTTCTCCAACACTATCTAGGTATTCAGCACTATCCAGTGTCATGCCAGCAACCGCCATATATGCGCGCGCCCACAAACACGCAACGAGGGAGGTTCCATCAAAGATATAGTTTCTTGCGCTAGAGGTGGTGGCGAGATCAGCAACCAAGACCTGGTGATTACGTCCAGAAGTCACACGGACCATCATGGTGTCTTGCTTTACGAAGAGCTATTGAGAGCGGCACTGCTAATTCTAGAACCGCTGGAATCTTGACAAGAGCCTTCATCTAAACACAAAGACGTACCTGTCTTCTCCACGTGGCCATGGTGTATATTATTGCATGCCGCTTACAATCTCCAGCGAGCAGCACTGACTCGACGGATGAGGGGAACTTGATATGCCGATCCAAAAAAACGCAGTGCTCAACACGGGTTCAGGTTGTCGACCTCTGCCAAGTATAAGCTATTATCATGAAATCACGTTATGTTGAAATGCCATCTAATATGCTTTCAATGGACTGTATATATAGGCATCATTCTGCAGCCCAGATACTACTCCGGGATCACTGGACAACTCTTACAGCATGCTTCTCACATATGGACCTAGGCTGCCGAGACGTGGCCAACTTGTCATCGGCGTTTGTTCAACTCGATCCATAAATCGTCCAAGGGATCGGGCTGTGCATGCTGATAGGTAGTTGGGTTAGATTAGAAGCTCAACAACAATGATCCTCGGGTTGAGCTGGTTCTCGTCCTAGGTATGCGTCCTTCGCGACCGAGGTAGGCCGTAGGGTAGATGTACTCCGTACAAAGAGCCACGGCTCACGAGCATGTGCAAAGCCGTCCGTTTCTCATGCTAACAAGTAGTGGTTATGCGATGCAAGTCGAGTTGCATACTGTGGTAGTATGGGTAAGTTTTAGCCGTACATGAGGTATATCTCCACTAATGGACATGGGGAGGTGGTTTGTGCTTGTGTAAGTTGTGCAATTTATGGCTGGAAAAGTGACTTGCCCCACGTTGAAGTGAGCCCTGCCAGATACTTGACAGGGAGCGAAAACTTTTGCCTGCAACCACAGTAGAAAGGTGACACTCTAGAAGAGCCATCGGCATATGCCCGACAGTTTACTATCCGTGGCGAAGACAGACGGGGAAAAAGTGATGGGGACGCAGTGACACCAATATTTCTGGTTTGCTGCTCAGCCATGGTAAGAGAGAGACAGAGGCCAAGACCCCACAAACTGGGGCACATGGCGAGCAATCTATTGCGGACGATGTGGTCGTAGCTCATTCTTTTTGATTACACATTACCTAGCCAGGCTACCTGCGATGAGCAATTGAAAGCTCGGATGCAAAAGAAGAGAAGTATCTCCATCGGCCTAGCATACAGATGGCGCATTGCCTAGCTTTCTAGAATGTCCGGGCGATGACAAGCCATTAAGCTCGATCCCCGCGGCGTCCGTCTCTGGGGGAGGGGAAAGGTCCTCTGTCTGTCATCTTTATATGGTAGAAGAGATGTCAGGTATGCTCGAGGTGAGACGATGACACAACGGACCGTGACGAGAGCTGCCGATATGCAGCCAAGGAGAGGACTTTTTATTCTCTTGATCTACCTGAGAAACGTTTCAGGAGACCGTTGAAATCGTTGATAGAGCCTCAAGCGCGACCTACGCCGCACTCAGCATGGTCACCGATTGTGGACGCTAATAACTCGCGACCCTGGCTGATGAACGGACGAGCTAGGGAGATTTCGCCGTTTAGCCAGGCTGGCTGTGTTCTAGTTGCGAAAAAAAAGGTGTGCCGTCTTGCCTGCCTGCCTCGGTGGGATGGTTGATGAATGGATCAACAAATCATTAGAGAGTGAAATCAAAGGGAATTTAATCATGGCCCGTCCTACAGTACACAGCTATTTCCGTCGGGGCCGCGCGCACGAGATATCCCTGGATAAACAATCGTGCAAGGTCCAATTCATGATCCCCAATGAGCAGCATAATATCCAGCATCGGATGGGAGCGTGCCTAATTGGAGAATCTTGCCCTTGATGGATTGATTTATGATTACCTGGACAAACTCTGGGGGGCCTAATGTAGGAGTTAGTTTTAGAGTTGATCCTGTGCCGACCGAGGCATTCATCATTGTACCTTCTTGCTGCTGGCCTTTTCGCAATATTAACCACAAAACTTCCCCAAGTTCCGCCCGGCAACGACGACGATAGCAATTAATGAAAAGGCCTGTGTGTGTTTTCGTCAATTTTCTCTTTTCCTTCATTTGACATATATATTTAGCTAATAGCTATCTTTCTACTTACTACGTACCTCACATACGTAGTCAGCTCCCGGGGTGCCGCTTCGCCTAATTTGTGCTTGTCCCTCCTCTTACCGTTCTAGGACACTGCCAAATACTCTTTTTTTTTTTAATCTGTTCTCTCCTCCGTTCTCCGAATAGTGTGTGCCGGGGGTGATCGACGGCGATGGATCTTTTTTCATAAGCCATCCGAGCCAATACACTCCCCGTTTCACCGCTGCATTCACTACTGGACTCCTTTATGCCCTCTTTTCCTCCCTCCCCCTTCCCTGGACTCACCTAAGCGGCATCTGATCAGTCTCGGCTAAGCCCTATTTCCCCTTCGCGCGCTCGGTACCTGACCGCAGCAGAGTACGTACGAGCAGAGCAGAACCAGAGCTTGGCTGAAGCCCAGAGAGCCCACACCCCCAGTCGTCGTCTCCAGTGAGAAAGAACCACGGCCTACCTAAAAGAACCCGAGTGCCTACGACAAAGCAGCCTCAACAATTTTTCGGGATGGCGCCTCCTACATCCTCCTCGTCTAATCCGAGCGGGAGCTATCTGGAGCAGACTGTCTCGCTCCTGGGCTCCGTGTCCGCATACATGCGCCTTCCGGCTCTGGTGTCTACGGTATGCAATGCCTTCTAGCTACCCCGTCATCGTCGTGCCGTCGCCGGCCTCCTCTGCGACGACCTCGCCCGCTTCTTCTTCTTCTTCTTCTCCATCCTTCTCTTCGCCAGCCTTTCGCCGAGTCTGCCGCCGGACCCAGAGCGCAATAAGACACCGATGCCGGACCGCAGTCGAGCTAATAGATGATGTGCAGGGCGCTGCTGCTGTCTTGACATCCCTCCTTTACTTCAAACAAAAGTTAGTTGACCTCGAGCCTCGATTCAAAACGCGTCCAGTACCCATGTGGCAGCTCTGCCCTACATGTCAGCTGCCACGGCAAGAGCTTGTAGACCTTAAGCTGACCAAGACTGTCCCAATTATAGATCTCTAATCTATCCGGCACATATGCCCCCAAATGCCCGGACGGATATTCCACGACCACCGGAATATGGAATTAAGGATTTTGAGGAATTGACCATTCCAACACACGATGGCGAGAAACTGTCAGCCTTCTACATTCGTGCACGAAAGGGCTCGCGCAACTCGAATTGCACCGTACTAATGTTCCACGGCAACGCTGGAAATATTGGACACCGGTTACCGATTGCCCGCATGCTCATCAACTACATTGGCTGTAACGTCTTCATGCTCGAGTACCGCGGCTATGGTCTTTCGACAGGGGATCCTGATGAAAAGGGCCTCATGATCGACGCGCAAACTGCCCTGGAATACCTACGGGACCGAGCCGAGACAAGTCAACACAAGATTGTCGTCTACGGGCAGAGCCTGGGAGGGGCCGTGAGCATCAAGCTCGTTGCCAAGAACCAAAACGCTGGAGACATTGTCGGCCTTGTTCTCGAGAATACTTTCCTCTCGATGCGCTCCCTAATCCCCTCGGTCATTCCTCCAGCCAAGTACTTGACATTGTTGTGCCACCAAGTTTGGCCGAGTGAGACGGTTATTCCCACCATTACCGAGGTTCCCATTTTGTTCCTGAGCGGACAGCAGGACGAGATTGTGCCGTAAGTTTTCTCTATTCCATGAACCAACAATCAAATTTCCTATATCAAATGATGATCATAAACAACCATCCACAAAACCTGAGACCGCTTGGCGGACGAGGATTTCAACCTTTGTTTCCTGACTATATTACCCTGTCACACAACTTTTAGCGCCCGCTCCCTCATGGGTGATGCTAGTTGCTAATATCATGTGGTCCTTCTAGTCCTCCTCACATGCGGAAACTGTATGAGCTAGCTACAACTCCAACAAAGATCTGGAAGCCGCTGCCTGCTGGTGACCACAACTCGAGTGTGCTAGAGGAAGGTTATTTCGAAGCTATATCGGACTTTGTCTCCAATGTCGGCGGGGACGAGATTCCGGACAAGAGGAGGAGGTGAAACGACTCCAGCGTCTTTGCTAATAATGAAGAGCATGATGAAGCGTTGAAAGCACTGTACAGAAGATTTTTTGCGTTTTATTTGCATTGGGCGGCGTTAACAAACGAAGATCCTCGGGGAACTGGAGACGCTTTGTCAGTCAAGAGCCCTCCCATTTATTCCCTCTTCGCAAGAATTGAAGATACCCCGCCCCTGACCCATCGATGCTTTCTTTCCGTGGCAGGAGAGCCGGTTCCCGTTTTTTGTTTAATCAGCTTTATATAGACTGGACGTTGAATGTATCAAAAAAGTTGTATCATAGTTGACTCGAGCAATCGTCCCTCCCAAGAAATTGATGTAGCGTTTGTGACGTAATTGATAATTATCCTGTGACCATGATATTGTTTTCGAAATCGTTTTTATATGATGTGCAACATGGCCTTGAGAAATTCAAGCTATGTATCGAGAAACTGAAATTCGCATACTAAAGCATTCATGACCACATGAAGGAGGGTTCTGAAAGCACGTATATTAACGGATTACGCACGTTGAGACGAATCAAGGATCCAAGGACATATCAATATTCATTTAGCATGGCGCATACTCGCCATTATCTATAGCTCGCTTTTCTTTTTCTTTTTTCTTTTTTTACATGAACATGAAAGTTCATCTTTCCCTAATTATCTCATCAGACTGTGTGTCTGCATGATTCTAGGCGTAATTCCCTCTCAAAACCAACTATTTGTCATTGGTTTAATCAATACGCTCCTCTTGAGACACGACCCGTCATGAATGCTTTACTCTTCTACCTCCAGTCTTTCGGCAGCAGCCTCCCAGTCATCCTCGACGGGGTCCTCCTCTGCCTGTTTCTTCTTCTTGGGTTTGAGCAGCGCCACAAATTTGCCCCGGGCTGGCGCCGGCGCCGGCGGTGCCACGGTGGCCGGTCGCGCGGCAGATCTTCCGGCCACGGTATTCCAGCCCCCAGCATTCTTAGTGGCGTGGTCGGCCTCGCGGCGGAGAACGTTGAGCGAAGTATCGACGTGGCACAGCGCCACGACCTTGGCGAAGCCGAGCCGGCTGACGGTCTGCGCGACCAGGGGCTTGAGGGCCGTGACGGACGCCTCAAGGGCCTGGGGCGTCCAGGCGCCTGTGCCGCGGAGTACAATTTCGTCCGAGGGAAGGAAGCTGGTGGTGAACGATATGCTGGGCTGGGTCGCCAAGTCCGCCTTGAGTGAGGACTCGAGCTCCTCAATGGTGAGACCAAATTGGGGCGACGATAGGATGAGTGCGTTGAAGGGTTCAGTGGGCACAATGATATTGGGACCTGCCGCCTGTTGGGCCTGGGATTCTGCGGCTCTAATCTTGACACATTGTCCGAGGGTCTTGGTCGGCGCGGACACGAAGCGAGGGGTTTTGAAGATGGCAACATGACGATGTGGCTCGGGGTCCTGAGATTCGCTATCGAGGCCGAAATCCTCTGCCAAGGAGTGCAGGAATGCGCGCAAATGCGTCTTCATGGGCTTGAATCGAAGACGCTTCTCCAAAGGGTCCGAGGCAAAGACGCGGAATTCCCTTTCATAAGTTTGTGCCCATTTAGCATTGTCTCTAAAGAACTTGAGAGTCGTCTCGGAGTAGGGAACATGGTCGTCGGTGTGCGTGGCCGGATCAATATTCAATGCTGCAGCTAATTTTGCGTTCCTCTGCAAACGAAGACATTCATCATCGCACTTGAGCGGTGCGCGTTCAGGCCAAGGGTTCGACTTTGAGGCCTGGCATCTGACTTCCTGCTTCCGATGCTGGCACTCGCAAGTGACAAAGGTCTTGGCTTGACATGGCTTGTCTTCGTTGCAGGCAGAAGGCGCATGACACTGGTCGGTATCGACGTGATCGCAGGATTTGCGGACTTTGAGACAAGGTTGAGAGCAGTGGGATCCACGAACACCCATGTCTTCACACTCGCCGGGACGGTGACAGGGCTTCGTACAAAGATGAGTCCCGCACTTCAACTTCTTGCCGCAAATAGTACCGCACCTTGGCTCTTCAAACCAGCAAGGCTGATTCTTGAGGTTTTGCTTGCCACAAATGCACCTCTTCTCTACAAGAAAAGGGCATGGTGGACAAGATATATCGTCTGGGTGACAGTGGTGAGAGACGAGAGGATGACCGCACGATCGATCCCGAATGCAGTCAAAGCGACATTCGGGTGGCCGAGTGCCACATGGCTGTGGCGGCTGAAGCACAGTACGGCCGCAGTGGCAGCTAATCTCGTCAAAAATTGCTTCAGGGCACGAGGCACAAGGCCCAGAATGACACAGCTGCTGACATTCATGTTTGCCACACTTCAGAGGCCGTCCACATTGGCGGATACAAATGTGCTCAGGCTCCACCTCTTCGTTTGAAGTACCAAGATTCTTCTTCTTCCTCTTTGCTGCTATTCTTGCAATAGCTTTCTTCTCGCCAGCGCAGCAGTGTAAGTCATGTAAGTGCCGTCCACAGTTGAGCTGAGCACGGCAGACCCGCATACATTCCGGAGCTTGTACAGATCCTTGGTGGCAAACTGACGAGGAAGTGGTCCTGCCGCATCTGCAGGTAACGTCCATATGCTGCATGCATGGCGGACATGCCGAGTCATGACAAACGCTCCGGCAAGAATGTCCACAAGACAGCACCTTATCGCATATCTTGTTACAGTTGGGAATGGGGTCAGTACAAGTCTGCCGGGGCTGTGCAAGGAGGTCTGCCAGAGACGTTTTGCCGCAAGGGCAATTGATCACCACGTCGGCAGAGTATGGGCAGTGAGTGACTTGTTCATCCTGAGCATGGCACTTCTGTTTGCATCGATGCTGCTCACAGTCGAACAGTCTCCCGCACTCATCGTTGCACTCAAAACTGCCAGTGAACCATGACTCGCCCAATCCTTCTGCTTTGGGGTACGGTGTAGTCTGAGAATCCCTAAGCTGTCCATAATTGAATGATGCTTCCTGATCGCCACGGCGTTCACAAAATATCTCCTTGAACTCCTTGCCACAGTAGCAGAGGGACGGAACCAACATCTCACAGCTGCCACAGAGGCCGGGATGACAAGGGCGCGAACATTCATGCTCTCCACATGGCAGCAGATCACCGCAAACCTCCTGACAGCTCCAGCCATTGACATAGTCTGTCTCGCTACAACGTTTTGTTGAAACCTGTTTGCCGCAAAAGCACGAGATACTTGGTCCCATCATCTCGCATGGCGGGCAGGGCCCAGCATGGCAGATCATAGAGCCACACGGATGAGGGCAAGTTGACCTTGGCTTGGAGCACGTCTGGCCACAAGAATGAGGCGGTAGCCCAGGGATCGATTTCGGATTGACTTCCTTGTTGCACCAACAGTGGTATATCGAGGGCTCATCAGTCATCGCTGAATTACAGCCAGGACAGCGCCAGCCCTTGAGGGCCTCGGCCCCTGGCTGCTCCGGCTTCTTGGTCTGGTTTGTGTACCATTTCTTTACACATGACATGTGCACCACAGTCCAGCAGATTGTGCATGACCAAATCTTCGAGTTTGAGAGTACTTCGTTGGTGCAAATGACACACTCATATTGGCCATAGGTGATGTCTTCGTGTATGCGTGTGGGAAGGTCGGGAGCTGTGGATTTGGAATCTCTCCGTTCTCGCTGTGTCTTCCCGTTTGCTACAGAGTCTCCAGGTGTATTTCGGACTTCATGTGTAGACTGGCCTGGCACAAAGTCGTTGGCACCCACGTCCAGAGAAGCGTTTGTGCCTTGCTCGCCTTCCTCGCGTTGTGACTCTGTGGTGAGTTGGCCTCCAAAGGCTCTCTGGGCACCAAATGTCGTTCTATGTCCGGAATTGGCACCGCCCCGCCTGGCGTTTCTTGTTCTTCTGGGGCCACGGCCAGAATGTGCTTGTCCAGGTGTGTTTCCCTCTGCCCTTGGCGGTTGTGTGGCCCCCGGCGCCGGTGAAGCTTCCGACGGCGGGTTCTGTTGACCTGTTGAAGTATTCTGCGCACCACCTCGACTTCGGCCCCCACGTCCACCTCCACGACCACCACGAGATCTGCCTGAACGACCGCGGTTGTGTCTTCCACCACGTTCTCCTCCGCCACCTGCTGCTGCCGTGCTGGGTTGCTGCTCGGCCATGACACAAGCAGACAGAATCCCAGCTTGTTCCAGAGAAGCCAATTCGATTGGGCTGACCTTTTCTGCTGATGGGTGGAAATATTCTGCTCTTGCTGTTGTGCACTCACTGTAATCGGGTTACTTCAGGCCCGATATGACTCT